ATGCATATGAGCACATTAAAAAGTCGATACAATTTACAGTCGAAAAGTACATTTTTGTATACATTTCGTACTGAAGGAACAATTTTATTTCCCAACACTGTGGAGAACTAAGCAAAATGGCCTAGTGTATATTCAAATACATAATCCACCAACCGATAATTTTATATATTCATTAAAAGATAATTTGTCATCAGTCTGAAATAAAAAAATTATAAATCGGAAGGGTAAAATAGTATTGTTATTAATTCAAAAATTAAAAGTTTCCTTTCACTGAAGAAGGGGGGATCTATCCCCCCAAATCCCCTCCCCCCCTGGCTATGCCAGTGGATCCACTTTTGAAACTTCGTACAAAAAAATTCCACAAACCTTAACAATTACACCCAAAAATTTTAAACTTATTGTTCAGAATTTATAGAAAAATTATAGGTATGCAGTTTTATAGCCCATCAAATTTAAGTAGGTAAATGTGAAAATTTCAAGACGCTAGGAAAGCGCGTTGATTTTTAATAATTTTTTTGGACGCGGTGTTAGGTATTTTCTTCTATATAAAGGCACTTTACTAAGGTAAAAAGTGAGTGAATTGAACCCCTACTTGGCTTCTTATATTTTTAACCGACTTCCAAAAAAGGAGGAGGTTATCAGTTCGTCGGAATATTTTTTATTTTATTTTTTTATGTATGTTACCGCATAACTTTGGACCACGTCAACCAATTTCGATAATTCTTTTTGCATCGGAAAGGTAGTGTCTCAGAGGTCCATACTAATCTGGTTAAGATCCGGTCAGTGGATCATGAGATATATATATATATATATTTTATATGAGAGTTGAAGTCGGTTTTTTTTGCTAAAAATTACTTGTTTAATAACTAATCTTTAATATGGACCACACTTAAAGCTCCTTTACATATAAAAATTCGTATGTGTCCTACCCATTACAAACGTTGTCCCACCCATGACAGAGGAGTTTCGGATTTTTTTTTTATAATAAAGCAATAATTTTTGCTGTAGTGTTTGCTTTGTTTGTATTCGTGGTTCTATGTTTTATTATAAGACAACAAGTTCATATAGAAAAGTGAAATAAATTCGCAGTTTCCGTAAAATATATACCCCAAAAAGCAGGTTCTTTTTTTTCCCACAAGTGACAGAAGAAATAACTCAGTTTTTTTCCATATAAAAGTAAGCTGGCATTTTTTTCGTGTTTTGTAATAACTCATATAATAGTCAGGTGTAACTTTATCAAAATGTAGAACTAAGTACTTTATACTTAAATTTAAACAAGAAAGAAAATTTTTTGTGTACAAATGCCCCACCCGTGACGGTGAAATCGCCCATATGTTGAACTTTTCTAAAGTTTGTATGAAGTTTGAAATTCTGACTAATAAAATTTTGTTAATAATACAATGAAAAATATATTCATAAAGAGAGAAAAACAAATTTGAACTTGGAAAATATTAAGAAAGAAAAAAATCACCTTGTGAACGGTTGTTTGAGTCAATGAATTTTTTTTTTAGAAAACAAAAACCACAATTAGGACATCACCTATTTTGCTGAATACTTGGCTCAGCTTCTCCTGCAATCTGCGGTATGTGCCGTGAAGTTTATTTTACGATATTTGCTATTTACGATATTCCTGAGAATTTTGCAAGATAAAAAAATAATTATAAGTGGGTTCAAAACTTTTAATAGGATTCCTACGGGAGGTTTTTGATAAATTTTCTTAGCTTAAGATCATACCCCGGTTTTATATATAAAATTATTTTGTACAGCCTAAACTACATGCCCCAATAATTACATATGTATGTATGTATCAGGGTTGTTGCGAATATTCGCATTCGCTTTCGCAACCACGGATCTTCCGCATCAATTTTAACACTCGCATTCGCTTTCGCATTCGCAAATCAATGCTGAGCTTTTGCGAATGCGAATATTGTGCAATTATATCTGTCACACAAAATGACAAATTGTAGCCAATATTTTTTGCACTTGGAGATGCTACGTTAAAACTGTCCCCCTGCATTGTAATTTAAATTCAAAGAGTAAGATCCTTCAATAGGTATTTCCAGTGGAAATATTCAACGTCTAGCTATAAAGAGAATCGACTATTTGCGCGGTAAAATGCAATGTTTGTCAAAAGGTCTGTTGAAAAAACTGGATACACCGCTAGTTTTTTCCTACCTTTTCTTAGATAAATGTAATAATTTATTTTCATAACGCGGCTTATTATGATTAAGTTCCGTGTTTTCTTTTATTACTTAGCAGAAAAACACACCAAATAATTTTGACTGGTTTTAATATGCAAATAATCCGCTATGCGTTCGAAGACAACAACATTTATTTTAATTTTGTGATAATTGTCGAAATTTGCACGCAGCGAAATAAAAATAAAATGGAATGAGAAAAAGTTGACAGCCAAGTTCACAAATCAAATAAGATGAGTGGGACTTGGCATGTAATAGCCGTCATCGATTCGCGAACAGTTAGCGAGTGGCGAAACGAATGAACTCAAAGAGGTATAACCAAACTCGCTATCGTCTATCCGTGCTAGCTAACTTTGTTGTTGCTTTCACATGCAAAATTCTTCTTTAAGCGACCGGAACTCAAACATAGCGAGCGAGAAGTGGCGAATCGATGACGGCTAATAGATCGTTAGTATAGTATGGAAAGGGCGTAACTCACATCGTCGCTGAAATACAAAAATGCGTAACTAACTTAAAATGCAAAATTCACTTTTTGATTGATTATGATGCATTTCATCGAATCATCGTTTTATGCAATACAAATTGTTTGTTAGTTGTAGCTTTTTTGCTTTTCAGCGACAATGGGAATTACGCTCTTTCCATACCATATACCGATATGTTGAAAATTTGCGTTTATTTGCCTCGAAATATCAAAGCACATTGAGCGCTCGGAATGGAACAGCAAAACGGATTTGATGGCTTATGGTACCGACAGCATTGAGTAATTAATTGTGGCTGACTGCAACTAGGAAAAGTCGAGCTCAGCTAATAAAATAAATTAATTACAAGCTATTCATTGCAGATGAACCTTTTCAAGAAGTCACCTGAGAACTAAGCAGATCTGAGGACTTCATCGTCCGTGATTCCAATAATTCAAATTATCATAAAAAACGGGGTGCCTTTTTAACAAAACAGCAAGATTTTAAACTAATTCGGTTGGCAGCCACGTCTTTCAAAACAGAATTTTCTTCGAAATTTTCTTCCTAGAAAATATAAAGTTTTTTGCTATATCAGTCACAGAAGAAAGGATTAGACATGAATTACAAAAACTAAAATCGAAACACGCTGATGACGTTGCAGGTTTTCCAAATTCTGAAACAACCAAAAGAATGAGAATGAAGAGTACTCTGGAAAACAAGGGTGTTTAAACAACGATCTTGGCATGGTGCTAGATTGTGAAGATGAAAGTCAGGAGCATACATCCGACATTTGCAGCTCCGATGCAATTCTCCAAAAGGAATTATGGACCGCAATAAAAAAAATAAATATAACTGAAATACCTCTTAACTGGGGCAGCGTCAATCGAAAAGAATTTACAATTTTGTCAAGTTTCAAGTTTTTCAAGTTTGCCGTCTAGAGCGAGTAATTATTTAGTGGCGCAGGTTTGATTTACGACCCTTTAAGAAGCAGGCTGTAACCCGAAAAGGCAGCAACATTACTTTTTATAAGCTTTTATTTAACTTGGTCATCCCGCGGAAATCGTGGTAATTTCCAATCGATTTTAAACTAGCTTCCCGACTAGATAGAGACTTGAAATTTTCAGCATAGTTCCAATCACGATGACAATGCAATTTGAAATATAAATGAATTCCCTATATGGTCCAGGGGTCTTGATTCAAAGGCGGTCAAAAAATAGTAAGATTTATGGCTACCAGAGCGTAATTTGCCAAAGAACGTAAAACCACTATAAAATTGTTAAAGCTGCGGGCGGTAGTGTAGCAAAGCTATTTGTCGCAAATTCTAGATATCAACCTAGTCTAGATATGAACCTCGTTGTAGGCATCATATCAAGGAGATACAATTAGAAGACTCCAGATGTCGCCCCGCCAGAAGAAGTTAAATATTGCGCCTAAATATATGCAGCGGAAATGGATGACACGCAATTTATTTATATGAAATTAACTGCTGCTATATGTACATATGTATGTTTATACAAATCGTAAGCAAGCAACATTTTGCTTGCATAGTCTTCTGTTCTCTTTCATTGCAAGTTGAATTATTTTCATATCTATTGCAAAATTTTGTACATAAAATAAAATAACATTTTTTAATATACAACGCTTTTATAAATCGACTAAACACTAGAAAATAATATAATGTAAAAAAAATATTTTTTAAAAACAAGCTTTTATTTAACCTGTACAATCAAAGGAATAAAATGAAGTAGTGCAACAAAAGATATTTTAGCAAGCAAATTTTGTCAAAACTGCACTAAAATGAATAAAATAAAATAAGTTAAGGTCTCGTTAAAGTTACTAGAAGCCATTTAGTGAAAGGAGTTATTCAAATTCTAATGAAAATCACTAACAATTTGTACTAATTTACTTCGTTTTTAAAATTCAAGTACTAAATAAAAAAAATATTAAAAATTACTAGCTTTTCCATTTTTCTTAAATCACCTAATTTACTCACCTAAATTATTTCTTAAAAATACTTGACATCCGCATTCGCATCCGCATTCGCTTCCGCGGATGTCTAAAATTTCACATTCGCAACATCTCTAGTATGTATGTACAAATCTTGATTTGAATAAGTGCCTAAAACTATATTTGACGTAAAAATTATCGACAATTTAACTAAATGTACATAGACTTAGAATTTAAGTCGGGAGACTCATGATTTTGAAGTACGAATTTACTGGACATGTAGTTCTGAATCGATTTAAGTTTTTTTTTAAATTAAAAATTCAGAAAATAATCGACTTTTAACTACTTATTTATGTTGCAAATTTTTACTGTGTACATGCATACAATATGTATTTACCGCCACAATAGGAGAGGTTGTTATGTCGCCGGTACATGCTAGAAGTTGTTGAGGACAATGTCGCCGCCGACGATGAAGAAAAAGATGAAGAGCTAGCGGAAAAACTAGAAGCAGTGGCTACAAATGTTTGATGGTGATGGTGGTGATGATGATGGTGGTGATGCAGATGATGAGGAATTTGAGGTTGTTGTTGCAGATGGAATTGTGGTGGCAATTGCTGTGGTTGTTGCGCTGGAGGCTGCAATATTTGCTGATGACAATTGTTGTGCAGATGGTGGACTTTGCAGCGACACTTGTCCAAAATCTGATAATTCGGAGAGGTATTGAAATGTTGCAAGTGACGCTGTGAATGCTCCAAAGAAAGTCTCGAATGCATTCGTCACGTTTTTCACTTTTCACACCGAACTGATTCACACCGAATTTTAATATACAACGCAACCGACGCGAATTAGAAAGCAGAATCTTATGCTTTAATTAGTTGTGCCCATTAGTATCAAAAACTAATATAGTTATGTTCAATAGTATTCAGTTTCTTATGCATATGTAGTGGACCACAATGCCTTCTTGAGGTAGAATAATTTAAACGCGGCATACATGTGTGTATACACGCATAAAAAGTTAAAAGTGATCACAAAAACAAAACACAACGATCCACTAGTTCAATGACACGAAATGAAACAGCAGATGTACGTAAATATGTAGACACCTTGCGACATCACTAATAGTAACGACCGAAATTGATGTCAGCTCCTAGGTGAAAAATATCTGTTTCGAAACTAGGAAACCGGAACATAACAACACATAGTAGGAAGTGCAATTGATTTGTATATATATCGAAGAAATGGCGGCACGGTGAAGGGAAAGAGGAGCAGCGACCCAATGCTTCATCCGACAGAGACAACAACTTCGATGAAACGATAGCGACAGTGACAATGACACTGACAACGAAAACGACAACGTCACTGCACTCATGATAAGAGACAGTCCGAGTGTCTGACCGACTCGACCCTAATCTACCGATTCTACATCCGAACGACCGACCGACAGTAGCGACCGAGAGTTCCGACTAAAACGAATCGCACACAGCTAATATCACTCCCAAATTTTATATGAACCGAGGCATTGTTGTTGGTGATGGCGATGACGTCGACGATGTCAATGTCGACAAGATGCGGTAGACTCGAGTGTCCAATAGAGAGTGAAAGTTGCACACTGCCGGGAGCGTCCACTTTCGATGCCACCGGGCGCATCGGTTTGCAAAACCAAAAGCGTAGGACGAATAACGTGGATAGTGGACGTATGGGGAAATGATGATTTCCTCTTTCCAAGGATAAAATTTCCTCTAGGAACGAGTGGCTTTGCACCTAGCAACCTTGTAGATACGCGCTAACAACGTTCACAACAACGGCAGCGATGAACGGTAGAATTACAACTGAAACCAAACTCAAATGTTATCCTAGCAATAAGCCTCCGACATTAATGACTGCAGGAAAGTATCAGCGGTGGTGATGATGGCGGCTACAGCAACGGTGGCGATGACAGCTATGAAGCTTTGTGAGGGTGAAGTGGTTCGCTATAAGATTTAGCTCTTGGTGGTGGTGCTTTTCGGTCAGCGACTACGAACAGCTATGTAGATGCGTTATGAATTGAGTGTTCATACACCCCCTCCACCCATCGGCAAAGACAGACACAGCAGCTTGCAAAATTCTTACCACCAACATTACCACTACCAGCAGAATAGCTAACACTCAACCAAGCCGCTTGTAACCAACCACTTTTTATTCTTTTATATTTATTACTTGCTGCGAATGCTGAGATTGCCTCAGCCACCAATACGAGTCCTTTGCTAGTAGCCCATTATTCAGTCCACACAGCTAATTCACCGCACGAGAGTTTTGAATGTAAGAACTTAGTACATACATATGTACATATGTATATATGTACATAGGCTGCAGATGGCGTGAAATATCAGGTTGCGTATACGCACTGTTTAACGCCAACACACACTGAGGAGACCTTTATGATAATAGTTTCATCCTTCTCCAATCCCCATTAGTTAGAAAAAATACAAGAAGAATAACATATCATACTGCAGATACGCAAATATTAAGGATTGTTGAATGAGCTGTTTATTTTAATTGTTTTTGTTTTTTACCGTAATGCAGCTTTTTGCGTTGCGGGTTCTTTGATCTGCGTCGACGCAGCTAATTCCCGGATAATCATAACAGCAGTGAGTGCGGCAGATGTATTAGCAGCGCAGAAAAAACGTGGCATTTACAGCAATCCGTCAATCCAAAGTTGTCGCTTGGAGCTGGTAATTGCCATTCTCCAGTATCAACACCACCACACACCTGCCAATCGTCGGCGCATCATCGTCTGGGTTTTGATCCTGACAACCTAAAACTCCAATCAGTCCGCCAATCAGATGTGTCCGCGCAATGGCAAGCACCTCCCCTTCGAACACACAAACTTGTGTACCTCACACACGCAACTGTATTTTGTGCACAGCATCTGCGTCTCATTGCTGCGGGTTGTAATTGTGTATGTATTCAGTCATCTCTTTTCTTTTTCACTCCGTTGACTTCTGCGTGGTGTTGTCAGAGCGACAACAGATGTGTGGTGCTTCATCCCCGAGATATGTTTCCGGGCTGACGGTGGCAAAAACGTAGCTGGTGGTTGCAGCAGAGTCCTCTTGCTTGACATTTCAACCAACCGTAAAGCCTGAAAGCGCCACTAAATAATAAGTGGCATAATGCCAAATGTGCCGAATTATGAAATTTTTTTGCTATGCTTAAATATATACATTCCATGCGTGGGACGTGCTCTTACTTGTATACATATACAGAGACTACTGTAAAGACTTGGAAGCTCTAAAAGATGAGCAATATGTAAGATATTTATTTGAATGCTTATGTATTGATTATACAAGTAATTTTTAAGCACAAAACAAAACCGACTTCAATTCTCACAACAAAGTTTAAGAGTACTCTTAATTTGTTCATAATCCAATAACAGGACCAAATTAGTATGGGACCGTCTCGGAGGTACCACCTTTCCCTAAAAAAAATTATAGAAATCGGTTAGCGTGGTCCACAGTTATGTGGTAACATAAATAAAGAAAATAAAAATATTCCGACGAATTGATTACCTTCTAATTTTTTTGAAGTCGGTTATAAATACATGAAATTTTCGAATTTCTGAGTTCGGGGAATCCCGAATTGTTGTGGAATATGCGTACTATTTAGCTTGCAAACAATGTTGCCAGATTCTCAGTTGTGACTGTAAATTACACTTATTTTTTAAAGCTTATAGTTGTTTAATTACCTCCTAGTACAAATAAGTTTTTGTTTGAAATTTCCGATTCGAACGAATAAATTAAAATTTAACTTTTAGTTTTTTTTGCAAGCCAAGTTTTAAGATAAAGGAAACGATGGAAGAGCAGCGCCTCTCCAATTAATGCAAATGGTTTCAGCTATCCTTTGCATACAACTATAAATAACTAGAAATTCCAGCACTCTCTGATATTTTAAGAACTAAATATTAAAAGCTTCAGGTGGTAATACAGTTTTTTGTTAGAAAATACAATTTTTCCAAAAATTTTGCTTTTTAAAAAAAGAAATCTGGCAACACTGCTTGCATATTAGAAGTTCAAGAATTAGTTCGGGCGCGGGGCGGTGAGATTTTTGCTGAGCTCCAAAAATTTTTTGCGGTTAAGAGAAAGAGCAGACATCTTAGAATGTCTGAATAAAGGAACCAGTGTAATAAGAAAGAAGAAGCAAACAATATTTCTAAGTAGGTAAATAAATCGTTTTGATAATTGTTAATGTAAGATGACTTTCATTGAAAGAACTAGCAAATACCCGCCGATATTCACTGCGCCTACAAAGAATTTTTGTCTTGTTTGATTATATAATATAATTTATAATTGATTTCATTTATCAATTTAATTTCATAAAATTTTTTAAACAGGTAGCAACCCTCCTCAAACATATTTTCGGCAGTAAACTTTCCTAATCTTCTTCAGTTTGATACCCATATTGCAATATTGAACTTATCTTAACAATTAAATTGAATTAAAATTTTCAAACAGATGACAACCTTCAACAAAACCATTTTCGGATGTAAGCCTTCTGAAACCTCTTGTGCAGCCATATTGCAATATTTACTTTATCTTATAAATTTACAAACAGGTGGCAACCCTCTAACTTTTTTCTTTCGATATTTTAAGCTAGACTTCTAGCAATACATCGATGAAAACTGCATTCAATTCCGTGCATTAGTTTTCCAGAGATGCTCATATAAACATACACACAGACAGACAGACAGACAAAAATTCTAAAAACTGTTGATTTGGCTTCTGTTGCTCTAATAAAAACATAATAGATAAACATACTAGAACGATAACTAATGTAAAAAATTGCTTTAAAAAAAATACCAAACGATTTATTAGTTTTATGTAACTATCATTTGAATGAATGTGACTGGTGGGACACTGAAAATAACTCTATTTTACCCTTGTGCACTCAAAGATGAATTTAAGCCAAAACACTTAATCTTCATGAGCGATGTTTTTGTTTTGTGAAATATGAATTATAGGCTTTCGTTTTCAATAAAAAACGAGGTTTATATAATCTTCATAGAAATATTAAAAAATATTTAAAGTTGTGGCTGGTGGGACATCTCCTTGTGACTGGTGTAAAGTAATTATGCATGAAATAAAAGTTTCCATAGACAAAAATTACAACTTCTTTGGATTTTTTTAATATTTTCCCACAGGTTATTGAAATGTAGTAATTTAAAAAGAGGCTACTACTGAAATAGAGATAATTAGGGCATATTTAAATTTATGTCGTTTTCCACTTTTCAATGTAATAACCCAAATTTCATTTCATGAATATAAATATCCAATTTAACATGCATAATTGGAATAAAATGAGAATATTTTTTGTCTTAATTTGGATATTCGCAAAAGTGAACAAGTTCGTAAGTGTGAACCCGCTTGGTTTCAATTAGTTCACATTATCAAGCGTGCACTTTACGTACATATATGTATGTAGATATCTACGGTTTTTGTATATATATGTAAAGCCTACTTTTAATTTCAGATTTTTCCTTGTTTGCGTATGAATTACTTGCTTCGGTTTAAAAATAGCTTTAAAAAATCAAAAACGTAGCCAAGAAGAGAAAGAAGTTTCAATAGAAATTTAATTGCATTTAGTGGCCAGAAGGTAAAATTTAGTGAACTAATTTTTACAGGAATCAGCAGAGAATGAATGGCCCCAAACATTCGATAAAATTTAGAAACTCATTGTTCATTCATTAATTGAAGCAGAAAATCATCGATATTTATTATCAAACATATAATTAATGTAAACAAAAAATTGCACTTTTCTGACTGGAGTCTTTTACTAAATATGAGCAAGGGTTACGAAAAAATGCAAAAGGTTATCAGAAAGAATAAAAAAGAACTACACAAACATTTAGTATTTTTAAAGTTATGGTTTGCCGCAAATTAGGCCATCCTCCAGCAAAACAGAACTTTAATTATCCACGGAGCTTCCTAAATTATTATAAACACAAAATATTTCTTTTATATGGATATGTGTATGTATGTACATTAGGAATGCTTCGAATGTCATATTTTTCACATTCGCGAATGCCAATTTTCGGAATGCGAATGTGCGAATGCGAATGTTAGGAATAACATTAAAAAAGCTAAAATCAACTTAAGTCAACGTTTTTATTACTTACAAATTTTGTAAATTATTAGAACATTGAACGAGTGCTTAACCTATACTAAATATTTAGTAGACAAAGTTAAAAAGGGGCATATATTTAAAAAAAAAAAAGTAATTTTGCTGCCTTTTCTCCCATGAGCCGATTTCTTAGAGACTCAAATATAATGCCGGCTGCACTGAACAAGTGCTCACTTGGAACGCTGGCGGGTGGAGCGCTCAAATATTCGCGGGCCAAATCTGTCAATTTGTCGTATTTTAGTTTAGTTTTCCACCTATCGAGAGGATTTTCACCAAGATGAGCTCGTTTTTCTTTAAGATAGGCCTTCAAGTGAGCTTTAATTTCACATTTTTTAATGTCTATAGATATAGCTGGCAGGATTGACGCTGCGCGCGCCGCAGTAAGGATAAGGGCCGTTTTCACCATCTCTGGTTAACACTAATCCCCAGCTAAACTTCGCTACCGACGCCACAGACTCCATGCACATAACATTGTGTCGGTAACAATGTTTAACTGGGGATTATTGTTAACCAGTGGGCTTCAAGTTCGTTTCAAGCTATGGACACTCCAGAATTCTAAAAGGCTTCGGGTTCCTACCGACTCGGACAGACCACTGCACGCCGGTTCTGTGTCCGAATGGATCTTTTACCACCCACATTCCAGCGAGAGGAGACTGG